CTTGGGCGAAGCTGCCCTCCTGGATTGGAGGGCGTTGTCGATGACGATACAACAGCTGGTACCATTGCACCGGTTGATGGCTCTTGTATATTGGGTAATGAGTGATATGCTTTGGAATGGGTCGGGAAAAATGTTTCTTCATAGTCAAAACTCAGTAAGGACTTAAATTTAATTCTATTCTATCAGTATTAGGTCTGTACCCGTCACAAATAAAAATCTACTTATAGTCAGACCCCTATTCAGACGATGTAATCGGGGTCGTGAAAAACATCGTCATTCAGAGGATATCTTTTAAAAGGATATGATTACCTAATCCAGCTATGTAGGCTACTTTGTACTTTTGATGCCTCTCCGATTCTCCCATTTGCCGTCTTTAATCGCTCGAATACTCTCAAGGTCAGGCCAGTTTCCAGCTCGCTGTCGTAGCACAGTAGTACTTGTAGCTTCGTTGAGTTTCGCAAAGGTATTGCTCAAGGACTCGGAGACTGTGAAATTGCTTAATCGATGGCCGTACTCAGCAAAGCACCACTCAGTGCACTATTTTTGTGTTGGTTTCGTGACTTGGTGATGCGCCCATCGTCGCAGAGTACGTCGTTGCTCTTCAGAAATGCCCTTTTTTGGCGGCATTATTCTCACCAATCTAACAAAAAACCCTGGTTAAGACGATATTCATAGGTTGAAGAACGATAATCGAGTAATCGGTAAATGTATGGTAACGAAGTCCGTTTCGGAAAATATAACGTATAAACGGCATTATCGTCTTAACAGGGGTCTGACTGTACCTGTCTTTTGCAGGTAGCAAATTCCCCGCCAGCTCTGCACGTCGGGACGAATAAATCGGATTCTATACATATTTGCATTACTTTACGTCGTGGCTGGGGGGACTATTCTCAACACCTGTCGGTAGTGTCCCCTACGAACCTCCAGCTCTCACTGTAGAGTCTGCAAAGCCGAGATTGAGCAACACCTTGTCAACTTTGAGCCGAGTTATCTCCCCCTTCGTCAAAGATACGCTTCCGATAACACATAAGACGATCAAGACGATGACAATGATGCTGGGAATGAGGAAAGATAATGCGGTACCAAACGCTACAACGGTAGTCTGAGAAGCCCTCGTTATATTACAACATGTGCTACCCACCAGCGGGCGAACAAAAAGCCCACGAAAGCAAAGTAAAAGACCCATCCGCCCTCAAGAAAAGCAGATTTTGACTCGTCTATGATATAGTCCCTACTAATCTTAACTTCCGAATCTACTAGCCAGGAGGGCATCTGAAATACATGAGCTACTGGACAACCCCACGTCCGTAACGACTTTTGGATGCTAGGCTAGGCTCCTTCACGACAGTCACTCTCGACCATGACTTTTCTGATATCCTTTCACGATCTTCGGTTTGTCCTGCGACATGAATCAGGCAAAGATGAGGGAGGGGGCTAGGAAGGTTGAGAGACGCTCTCTGGTATACACAGGTCTGCTATGCCCGGCTGGACTGCCTCTTCGTCATAAGAGAACCCCGCACCCAGTTTTTTGAGACTTTTCCCTGCAGCTACACACCCGCAAATAGCCATCGTGTAGTTGGCTGGAGAGGGGAGATAACGACGGGATAACGGCTCCTCTTAGTGTGTACTCGAATGAAGACCTGTGGGGGTATTACTGCTGGAAAGAAGTCGTGAAGGAGGCATAGGGAGTACACTAAACGAGGCATAGATACTCCTGGCCTGTTGGCAGAAAGGACCTACATGCCCTTACATAGTTATAGACTCATTAGGACAATAAACAATCACTTACTTACGTCATGGCTGTGCTTAGCACTCGTTTTGAGACAATACGTGCCTCTCTGCTCAGATTATGAGAAAGCTGCCCAAGGTGCTAGCGTCACGAGAGATGTCCCACAGCAGCCTCCCCCCACTTTAAGCGGAGGACCAAGGGTGAACACTTATTGGTGGTGCCCTTTACGAACCTGGGAGTGGAATATTCTCCCAGAGCCGAGTTTCAGTTACGACAAAATGTGAATTTGTGACTTCTCGTTGAGTTGGCGATCTGGAGGAGTGGTGTTGGCTCATTTTTGGTCGAAAATCCGACCTGGAGAGATTTCACGACTGAGCAACCCAACGAAATCAACCATCTACACCCCAGATACGAACCGCAGACAGACTATAACTTATTTTATGTTTGCATTACAACAACCGACACTATCAAGATCTTATTTTTTTTTCTCCGGAAAATCATTCTCAGCCAAACTCATCTCGCGGCCCTCTCAAAAATCATCTCACCACCTACCGAAGCAATTCCATACCTCCAAAAGTCAAATCGCCAACAAAGAAGTAAGAAGATATCCGACTCTCCGCAACTGCCAGTCGCAGTGATGGTACCGTCGAAATACCGGCCCTAAATGCGTCCTCACCTCGGCCAAGGGCACTCATAACTCGACCTGCGACGAACCGCCACCGACGAAATACGCACGACATTTCGCCAGCACACTAATTAGAGCGTTCGACAAAGGCTGGGGCACTGGTGTCTCAGTCTTGAGCTCTCCGTCGCGTTTCCGACCTCCACGGTTAGGGGTAAGGTAGCGACGGGACAAGACAGGAGGGGTTGACATTCTACAAAGTTTCTGGGATGACGATATCGGCTGAAGGACAGAGGTATACTACATGAAGGAACAAAAAACAAGATGGAATACAAACTGAGGAGGCCTTGGTGGGCGACTGGACAAGGCCTCTAATTGGGAAAACGACCCTTGGATGAGATGAGATGGGCCAAAGTTGTGACTGAATAGAAGGGAAAAGTAGCAGATCGCGAAGGTGTCAAGGGCTCGGGCGCGCGGCGGCCGAGGCTGAGGAGGAATTTGCGCTTCGACGCGTCAAAATATGGTTCTCTGGATGAATGGGCTTGACATGATTCAACATATGGGTAAAGTCTGAGGTGGTCCGGTCATTCAGGTGGGACGAGGTAGATGTACTAAATAGTAGTTAACCCGATCCAGCCCGGCCCCATTCGTGCTTAAGCTCCAGTAGGAGTGCGACGGTAGTCTCTTTACCTGTCACGTTGATGAACAAACCAAACCAAACTCCCAGTTTAACCTAAACTATACCAGTCTACAAGGACTTTTTCCCTCGTAAACCATGTAGATAAATTTTTTTACTAGATAAACCTAAAGTGATTCAGTGGAAGAGCTTGCTTCTCTATAACATAATTGTATAGTAAGGCGCTACTTAATATGTTCTAGGCTACACAGAAAATGCTGGGCTCTCAAGGACGCTAGCACGTCGGGTAACTTTTTCCTAGGCTGAGCCAGCCGGCACGTGATAACTCAAAGCACGTGGTGCACGCAGACTCGACGCTAAGTAATATTTATAAAGAGGTGCTAGCGTCACGAGAGACTCAGTTTCGTCTATAAACCCTAGAACATGGAGGGAAAGAATGAACATCTGTACCCGGTGTCACCTACGAACATGGGAGTGAAATATTCTCCAAAAGCCAAGTTTTGAGTCAAACTTCGCAACACCAAAAAATTTGGCCCACGAGGCAATGATTCAAAATACTCCACCATGTCAAAATTTCACCCCCAACGACATCGACTCTCCCCAAGCTTTATCAAGTCATCAATAACTACTTTGTGTATACTCACTCCAATGACCACACCTCTCATCGACTATTCTTAGACCTCCGCCGGTCACTTAATATACGCCCACGACAATACGAATACCCGTAGGAGGACAAAAGTGTGGCGCAAAAATTGCAAAGGAAGGATGTAATCTCGACGGGTGTGATATTTTGAATTTTGGCAAGGAGTTTTACGTATTTAAGAAAATTGTGCGCGTCGAAACTTCGAATTCGAGAGTGCAGCCGACACTAATAAAACAAGCCAATGATGAAGGCGCCGTGGTCTGCCTCCTGGTGGCGTCTCTGGTATGGTTTGAGTAGCCTGGGCACCTACTCCACTTGCAAAGGAGACACCTCAGACCATATTTCGCGCAGAGAAAAGTTGAAAGATAATGGAGGCATGTCTGGACAACTCAGGGCTTTGAGACGTTTCCCTGGGCGAATATTTACGGATGAGGGCTGACCTGGGGTGAAGGAAAAGTCGCCATAACCTTGCATTGGTACTTGCAAATGAAGTCTGAGGCTTGAGTGCTCTTCTTGTATATTGAGTCATCTGTTATGCACTTTTTCTCTGATATTTTATCATAGCTAGCTAGTTGCATACGCAATTAATACCTCATGCAAGAAAAAAAGAGTAGAACATTCTATTTGGCGCCTTTCACTACACACATGTTACAGAGAAGTGAGCTCTTCCACTGAGTCACACCAGGTTTAACTAGAAGAGAGAATTGTTTTACTTGGTATATTGTACGGGAATATACATTTGCGCCGGAACAGCTGAGATAATTCATCGAGACACACATTGATTGATATGTATGAGTGAGGTTACGACGATAACTACTTTACTTCAGATTGCGAGAAGCTGGTCTCTTATCCCCTAGCCAGCTCACTTGTAGACCGATCACGTAAGCAGTATGCAGCACATCAAAGTGTGCTCCCAACTGAGCAGCTTTGCCATTTATCCTATATCAACAACCCATCTCTCATACTGCACACAGTACTATATGTAGTGCCATTATATAGAGACTGGATCTCCTTCACGCGCCATTATGCCATACTGCCATAATAACTACCTATGCACCAACCACAAGATCTACCGTACTACATAGCTGAGCGTAATGAAAACTTCTTGTAGAGTATGAGAGTGTAAGATTATATGAGGTGTAGATTTCACCTGATCAGAGCCTGGGACCTCATACAAGGGACTACCACGTGGAATAAATTACTGCCCGATATGCGAACTCTTTTATAAATGGGAAATTTTGATTGTTAAAAATGAAATTTCTGAGGCTATAAACACTTAAACTGGAAAGCGTGCATGCGCTAGAATCGATTCCATATATACAAAAAGCTTTCTTCTCAGGCAGACACGGCGAAACAAGAGCCCTAGATTTTATCTTCCTGATCCGTACCTCACCCCACGCTTTCCAATCTCTCTTCTACTCACTACTTCCTTTGGCCAGATCCAGCCTCGAGCCCGCTTGGAATCTCGCTTTTCAGCTATATTTGGCTCAGGCATCCATAAATCTCTGGGTAGGCACTTCTTCCTGGTTCCTTCTGCCAGTACGCCAACCTCACTTTTCCAACCGACCTGACCGGGTATGAGGCTATCTCTTGCTAGCATATGCAGATACCACAGTGCCTGTAAGGCTGTAATTTTTGGTTGCGTCTGAGAGTCATTTGTGCCGAAGATAGTATCATCTTGGTGAGAAGCCGAATTCTGGCTACTGTTGGCAGCGAGTGGAATGGTCTGGATTTCAAGGTAACCAAAAAATGGCACGCTCTCCTTACTATTCCGCACAACAACAAGCTCAATTTCGGTCATTATAAAACCGTACCTGCACCCATTCTCACGCATGTGCCGGTGGAGATGTGAGAGGCCACGGAGATATTCTACTTTTCGATGGTTGCCTTCAACGTACATACCACTATTCCATCGATTAAATGATTTAACTAAGCCTACAATGCGGCCAAGTCCTTGACCATACAGAGACTGGGAAACCTGATCAGTGTAGTTGGAGATGAAACATGGATCAGCCGAGTTCTTTTTAGACTGAAGCATCGTGAGGTGGCGAGGTCCAAGTGATAGTTCTAGTGCTGCATTTAGCTTGGTGGCATAGTATTGATCATAAAAATTCATCAGCTCAAGCTCGGTTTCTGGCTGCATTGACTTGCGAGGCGGAGATGGGAGAATGTTAGATGGTACATTGATATTGAGAAGGTTGTGTAAACCTGGCGCAGCAGTAAAAGCTTGATGATTGAAGCCTGTCCAAGGTAGAATTTGTCGAATGTCCCACCAGAAATCATTGATTTTACTGCCTCGAGGCTGAGTGTTAATCTGCCTGACTAATTCAGGCGTGGGATTTGGTGAGGTCAAGTAGTCCCTTAAAGTGGTACATGGGCCATTATCAAATGGGTCCAAAGTATCTTGAAACAGTAGCTCTTCAAACTCCATAGAAGCCTGAAGAGGAGGAACAGATCTATAGGGAGATGAATTGTAGATAACTGGCGTGAATATATCCGCTTTCTGGTTGTTTACAGATGCGACATATGTGGATATCGGAGTAGGAATCGAAAGGTCACTTTGTGCAAAGCTGTAGCTATCAAGACCGGTATTTTGGTCAAGAAAACTGTCAAATACCTCACCAAATTGCTTGTTTAATCCCCAGTTATTTATGGAGGCTTTATTGTCGACTGGGAAACAACACGCTGAAGAGGTTGGCCCAGGGTAGGTGTGACGTCGTGAGGATGGATAGTTGTACGTAGGATTATTCCGAGTCTTGGTGACAGACTTGGATCGTTTGGGCGGTAAGTAAAGCCCTTGGTCTTGTGGACGAATCTTAGGCAATAGTGGCGGCCCATGCTGTCGAATGGGTAACCGTATTGGTTTCGCTAATTTGGTGTTGACAGAGTCAGGTGACGAGCTGCAAGATGGAACAGAAAGGGAGTTTTGGCGGCTATGGCTCATTGATGGGGATTTTTTTAAATCTTGAGTAAAAAAAGGGTCCATATTCCGGAAGTGGTCAAGATACATGGTGATATCTTACAGCTACGATGGCAGATGATTAGCCACGTACAATACAGAGCTGGCAAGCTTACTTGTAGAGTGGGAAGACAATTACCGATAGATCTTGTAGAGCTTGAGATAGATCGTAGCAGAAGATCAGGGTTGAATGTTTTTCACTTTTGTGTGAAAAGTAGATGTAAGTTGAACAACTGGAGAAAGTGTTGTTTTTCATGGAGTTTCGATGACTAGATATATAGATGCCGGACCATCAAGGGTCTGGACGTCAATAGGCTCTTGAAACATGAAGTGAGTGTAACAGTCTTCGAATTTTGGCCTACTCACGTGTATCTCTTGATCGAAAGCAGCATATGAAGGTGAGCCGTCCTGCGAGCGCCTACATGGTCGCCGGTGAGAGGAGGCAGGATAGGGTCCGGGCCTAGCACATCCAAGGGTAGAGCCATGCCTACAGGACATGAGTGCCGCATGAAGTCTGCAGAGCGACGGGCATTTTCTCTAAACAGCTGCAGAAGCTCGCGTCTTCATACGACTAACTCGTGAGCCCTACGGCTGTGGAAAGATAGCGGTATCCTCAAGGGTCACACGAGCCGCTGGCGTCATTTGATCGCGTCTTCGCTGTCGAATTTATTTTTGGCCTGTTAAACTTGCCCTTGAAACAATTCATCCGTGCTCCTGGCGATCCGCCGCCTTTACTCTCGCCGCGAACGAGAAGCTGAATACCGAATTAGGTTTGGGAGAACGACGATGATGATTACCGGCAACCACTGTAACCCGGGTTATTTCTTTTTTCCGAAGAAGCATTGCATTTCCAACAACGCACTTTTGTCAACTCTCATGATAACGAGCTCAGTCCTTGCCGTAGATCCGACGGGAAATATACAATCCGGCCTGCTCCGCGCAAAAATTATGTACGTTAAGGGTGGGGTTGTCTGAAGCGAAGCGCCCGCAGCTTGTGGCTGTTAATTGGCTCGTCAAGTCTCCACTGTATAATGCTGGATATCCCTTACTTCCATCTACTCTCAAGGCGGCGGCCAGTACTTTGGCAGGAGAGATAGCCGGGCTCTGATTATAGTTTACTGCAAATGTCGGTCGATTGGTCGCGCTTGATATTTAATGTTTCATATTTATTTGCGTTGGATGTAATATTCGACGTCTATCTCCAAGCGTTCCATTCATCAAGTGTCGGTAAAGAACCCTTCTTCGATCAATTTTTCGGCTCCTTAAAGATTGCACGATCCGCTGAGGGTAGAACCGCACCGAATTGGATGTCTTGGTGAAGGATTCTGGCATGCGAATTGAAAAAGATCTGCGGCTACACATAACTAGAACCGAGAGCTAGCTATTCTGATTTCACTTAGGCTGTAGACCGTCTAAGCCACAGCTTAGCGGATACAAACAGACGCTGCCTGTCACCTTCGATTCCACTGCAGCTACCAGCGTGTCTCTACACCATGGGTCTAGAATGATCAACACGACACTACTACCCAGCTGCACCTAGAAAGATCGAAATTCAATGTTAGACGTGTCACGAGTATTTCATTCATAGGACCTAGAAGACTTCCTCTGGCGAAAGAATCTCTGTTGCCTCGATCAGTGCACGCGATGGGTACCGAAAAGCTCACAATGAAAAGGGCACATGGTTTCAAAGCAAACAAAACTCCTCTAGATTACTTAATATCTTTCTAGCCTACTCGTACAGCCTCGAGTTAACTATCTATTTTAACATACTTTATCCTAAGAATGACCAAGTGTTCACGCTCCAAACCTTGAGGACTCTGGTGGCGCTTAGTCGCGCATCCATTGCATGATCTTCCCAATTCATAATGATGCGCTCAGGGGTAGGAGCGATAAATTTGCATCTTATCTCGAGAATTTCGGCGCGAATTAGGAAAAAGGTTCTGTGAGGGTCGGCTTCCTGAAAATGGTCGCGATATCGGGTGGGCGGTTCCACTGTCAGCCATGTTTCATCGGGACATGGTTGTTCCGCAAATTCTTAAATTAGAACAGCCGACAGCCTGTCAGTCCCAGGATTCTACAGCTAATATGAAACTTCAGTGAACCCCTTAAGTTCCCTAAATTAGCCGCGCCGATGAACCTCTGGCTCGGCTCATAGTTGTGGAGATCGATCGAACTAGTTTGGTCTAAATTTGTTCAGCCGGGTCAGTGTTTGCCGACGGGCAAGAAATTTTTTCTCATCATTTACCTCGAAAGGGTCTACGCCGTGATCCTACATGTGTCATCGCATCGACAGTGGACGACCAACCCCCGGCTAGATGAGAGAAATAAGAATTATGAAAAAATTATAAGTAGTATCCTGCATTTTTCTGCGAGTGAATAGACCTAGCGAGCCGAGTAGCTGCCGGCTTATTCGCTTCTCAACACTCAGGGATCTTCTAATGGCCGCTTCAGAAGATAAGCGCAACGTGCCTAACGTCCAAAATAGCCAAGGATCTCTATCAAAGCCCTCCGGAATCAATTCGTCAGGTCTTATACCAAGCTAACAATGTTGTTCAGGGGGTATATCGACCTGAACCAACATCTCCTTGATGTTACGATGCCTAACGATGATTCTCAAAGGCCGGCCTCGCTCAATTCCACAAGTAGCCACTCGCTTCCTGAAATGATATGGGGTCAAAGAAGCCTAGCTTGAATCACACCATGAAAAATACTGGGTCGACCTACTCTAGTGGGGAAAAGAAGATTAAGTTTCTGTGATAGCAAATAGATCTATTTTAGAGTTATCATGAGGTCCACTAAGTTCTAAACATTAGGATCCACTGGAACACATTGGTTTCCTAAGTACAAGCGTAAAATTCGAAGGGGCCTCTTTGCCGAAACCTTGCACTTGTAGCCCCATAACCAATGTAATCACTCAGATACTGAGATACTTGAGACAGGGAATGAATAAAGGTAGAAAAGTATCAAATGTGACACAGGTATTTGGGACTAGAAAAATGGATTACGCAATTAGATAGACTTCTTGCTATTTCGATATCATAGGATTTAGCTATAATGTTGACTCAGCAGTTTTTAATCATATCGCTACTTCCTTTGTAGCTGATCCTGTGAACTTCATAGTAGCTTCAACAAGGGAGCTTTTTGAGTATGCTTGAAGAACATACATCTGACATACCTATTACATAACTGAAAAGGTCCAAGGATAAAGTGTACATCAGCATGGTTCAACCGCTAGTTGAAAGGTTGCAGGATGCTTAGAAGCTTTAAAAACCAATAGTAATATAAACCCTGAGTATCTAAAAGCTCATGTCATTAACCAGCGGTTGTCTCTCGGCTTACAATCCTTGTCACATTGAAGTAATGCCTACCAGTGACGTACCACATGTATGGGCATCGAGATATGAATGATCTCCATTGAGGCAGAAACTTTGGGCATTAAGTCATGTGGCCATTGTGTTCCATTTCTCCCATGACCGAGTGAGCCAATCGATCTCATATTTACTAATTTTCATAGATCTAATTCCATGCAACAGCCTGCGTACCGTAGCACTGCCTCTCGGGTTCGTGTTCGGCCTTTCTGCACAGCTTCATGCCCGTTGTAATATAACTGCATTTTGCATGAGCCTGCATATTTGTTGTAGAAAAGTACTTGTACGGGCAGGTTGAGGATCGATCGTAAACCTGACGGAAAAGCTGCCAATAAGATATGACTCATCCACTCCACTTCTTTAACCATGGCTGCAGTACCTTTGCTTGAAAATAATGCTCCTTGTCACGTTGGTTCCTTAGTAGCACTGAATAGTGCACTGTATGATCTCCTTCGGCTGACATAACTCTAAACCTAATGATGCATGCACCAATGTTCGATTACATCTGTACCTAATTACCAACAGGTAAAAAGTGCTCTGGAAAGTCCGGATTTATCCTGGTCGAAAATCATGGTGATGAATGAAATCGAAATCAAAATTCCTTAAAGAAATTGGATATTGATTAAAGTACTCCGTGACTACATTGCTGCTATCAACATAGCTGTTCATACATGTTCTCGACATCATAAATCATAGGACAATACTTCATCATGTAGTTTTGTGAGCCATGTGTTTGTGTTGTATGTGAAGTTCTTGGTGTAACGTTGAGACTGAATAAAGTCCGAATTCTGACTATCTCTGTATAACATGATCACGTTGAAGACAATGATGATTCTTTCATTCAGTTGGCATAGTCCCTATATCCTCGTCAGAACAAGGGACAAAGAAATATGTTTCCACGAAGTCAAAGTACCAACAACCTCCAACAACCTAAATCTTTTGAAGCATGGGGTGGGTCAGCAATTAATACGTCGGGGTTATTCGGTTGTAGACCTGCATGCCCCCCTCATTCTCGAGTCCCCGCAAATTTGAAGACAAATAACCATGGATTATCTCAGAGTTCTATCCCGTCCTGTACTGATACCCATCGCATACGATGCGGGCCTAAATTAGTCTTGCATAACTTAGAGTGGCATGATAAGTCCCCAAAAGAGGCAGGTATCGATAGTATTCTCTTGGAAATACTTTAGATGACAGGTCACTGCTCGGACTTTATTCATCAGTATCCATTATGTTGGCTGCAAGCCCATGTATAACACCTTGGCGCATCAAAATGTTACTAGCTCAAACTTCTCCACTGAGTTGAATTATCTTTTTGAGCCGATCCTCTCGGAAATTTTCCATCTCCTCTATACTCTCTGAGCGATCTTCGCCTTTATTGAATGATTTAACTTTCTCTAGTTTTCGTGAAAATATTTGTCTTCCTATTCGGCGTCTACACCGTGATATTCTGGGTCTGTAACTTAGGGCCATCCAACGCCCAACTCCAAGTTGCCCTAGATATAAGACTCCATTAAAGTAACTGACTAACAGCTTGTGTAAGTTTAGATATAAAAGTCGAAAATAGAACATGTTAGTATTGTTGATTAAGTTATTGAAGATTTGTCAGCTAATACGTCCGTTATCTTTAGTTTAACCGGAGCCTGTTTGTGCCAGCTATAATACTTCACAGAGTGACAGGGG